AAAAATTCAAAGTTAAAATTTGAAGAAAAAAAAAAACTTGCGTGGTTGAAAGCCTAGATATTTTGTGGAAAACGATTTGTAATAGACAATGGAAGCTTTGTCATGCCCACGGGCAACTACCGGGAGACTTTTGCATGTAAATTGACGTATTTTTGAGAAGGGTTCCTTATACAATCAGGTTTCGAAATGCTTATTCATATCGTTCAAAATCGTACGATCGTCGGTTAAAGAGTAAGGCCTATATATACTTATGTATTACTTTCGCCTCAATTTGCATGTTGACCCCAAGTGGGCGTGGTAAAGCTTAGTGAAGCAATTTTGCCACATTTTTTCATCATCATCGTTACGTTTTCTGTTATAACAATACGTACGTTTTGGAGTGTTTTCGTAGAGATAATGTTGTATTATTTAATTATTCAAAGTCTCAAAGAAACAAATTTGCCAAGAAAACAAAACAAAGCAAAACAAATAATTTTTTTTTTTTCACGTGCCAATTAACTTCAGAGGACAGTGAAATCGGAGCATATTCATACAATTTAAGGACCTGCATACACTGAATGACTGCATTATCAGAGGAACCGTTGATGGTAAATAACCAAGCCTCTCCATTGACCCTTGTATTTTGTACGTCTTCTACACTATTCTTAGGCCTATTAAGAAAATCGTGACACACAGCTAGCTAGCAGACAGACATACAGACTGCGTAGAATCTTTTAATATAGGATATCGCATTAAGTGTATCTTACCTGCTTGGCAAATTGCTATAGTGAGAAACATCGGCCATAAGAACAGCACAGACGCCATTGCTGAATGATGTTCCAGCTATATGCTCGCGTCACGGAAATCTCTTGCGTTAAACTGAACTTTATTGGAACTTTGCCATATCCGGATACATGTCTACGTGAATACCAGCCTTCGTTGACATTATTATCCCGAGATCAGGGGGCACGGAGGGCGGTACGTGATGGCACACTGGGTCACTTTCATTCTCGACAGAAAGTATAAATCACAGTGTACGAAAATATGAAGAGAAACAAGTGAGTGTGGAAAACCACATGCTTTTGTCATTGCCACTATGATACAGCCAAAACAGTTCACCTTGAAAAAACAAACCGTGTCATATTGGAATAGCATTTTGGTACACTATCACAATATAATCTGTCTAGGTTGTATTCCATGCTGCCCACTGACAAAATGATTCAGAAAACAGGTAATATTTCAAATACTTTGCTTACAAATTTGAATATGCGACCGGGATCTGCGGAATGGATGTTAAAGACATTTTCCCACTGATAGTTTGTTTATGAAGAAAGAAGAGTGCATCTGATGATCTCTGATATTTACATGTTAAAAAATTACTATTATTAAATTCTCTAGAATTTCCACTGTCGACGTTTTCTTTTCGCGAAGTAGCTATTTAGGCAATATCGGTTACTCAATTTTTAGCATTTGTGTGACTTTTTTTTTACATTTTGAATTTGATTATATGATTGATAATAATTATGATCGTGAAGTTTAGAGGTTTGCTTCTTTTCGATGCGATTTCTACTTAGTTGGATCGTTTCACTTCGATCCGACTCCTCGACTTTTTAACTTGTTACCGTTCATGACGAAATTCATTACTGACAAAAAAATAAATCAATAAATCAATTTTAAAAAACCAAGAAACACCGAAAACAAATTGATGCGAGATATGGCACGTACACTGAAGAGGGCGCTATTTCAAACCTAATTTTTCTTGTAGTTCTTTTTCTTTTATAGGCACAGCATCGCCACCAGAGCGCGAAATATTAATCGAAATTTCCATTTGTGACGGTCAATTTCACTGTTTGGCATCGTTTGCCTCTTTAGTGCGTTTCTCAGCCGATCTCCATTTTGAATAACACTTTCCTAATGGAATATTTTGCATAGAAGCTTAATGGCATTGGAATTGAATTGACTTCTGGCATACTGGAGTGGTTCTATTTGACTTTTCTTTGATCCCTGCAATTATGTTGGGGTTGTTTTGCATACTAACGCACGGATGATTGAAAAAGTGGAAGACAGGTTAATAACAGCAAACTCTATGTTTGTATAATGACTTACTGAAAATATGAAATGATCCGGACATTGCGAATATTAATCATTGGAAATAACCTACTATGCTCTGCGAATCTACGTTTCCTTTAAAATATATTTGAAGGGAATTAGCGGTCAAAGGCCTTATTAAAGGGCATGTATAATTTGTAAGTAAGCAGGGTGTCCTGTCATAGAATATTTTATCATCTAAACATTTACATGCCGAATTTCGGGAGTAGACACGAATTTCACGTGATAGCTGGTCGATTGCTCCCGTGTAAGTTTTATTTACACGAGTGTTCACGACCATTATGTCCGTTTGGTCGATTACATCCGACAACAGATTTTGACTAGCGACGGCCGATTGTGTCCGACCCATTATGTCCGACAGCCGAATATGTCCGATCCATTGTGTCCTACAGCCGATTATGTCCGACCCATTATGTCCGACAGCGACTATGTCCGACCAATTATGTCCGACGTTCGATTAAGTCCGACCCATTGTGTCCGACGGCCTATTATGTCCGACCCATTATGTCCAACGTCCGATTATGTTCGACCCATTGTGTCCAGGAATTGGATACCAGGAATCCGATTTTCCCTTACCCAATTTCGTCCGGTAAAAAACTGAAGTTTCAAACTTGCGCGCGCAAATTTCAAAGTTGCGCAAGTAGCAAGTTTGCGCTCGACAGGACTAGTAGTAACGATTGCACGAGGAACAGCGTGCGCGCGAAGGTTTATAAGTCAGACCCTATTTATATCTAACAGTACGTCTAGATTCCAGACTAGCTGCTACAACTCCCCAGTTCATTAGGAATTTTACTGAAAGGTATGCGACAAGGTATGCAATAAAATTCACGACATTGCAAACAAATTCGCATACGTGTGCGCACATATTCGCGATAAATTTTGCGACATCGCATACGTGTGCGCACACATTCGCGATAAATTTCGCGACATCGCATACGTATGAGCACACGTTTGCGATATGCGATGTCCCTTCGGGGCCACCATAATTTTGCGTGACCTGTAACCTGCGCGTCATCATTACTCTTTATTCCAGTTTAGAGATGTTTTTTTTTTCGTTGAAAAGCGTAATGCTGTAGGAAATTCTCGAAAACGGATCTGTGTTGTGAATTTACAATTCCTTTCACATGCTCAGGCTCCGTTTCGAATCACGAACAGTCGGATAGCAAGTTTTTGTCCACATGGTCCACAATGAACCAGAAATCACATCCGGTATGGAACGTGTGCATTTCTATGGGAAGTTTTCGGATAGCATTTGCGCGCATTGTTTAACTACAGTCTTGAACAGTTGCAGCTAGATGCTTTATACATAAGTCATAGGCCACTTCCTTCACAAGATTCTGTAAAGCTCATCAGCGTATTAGGGGACATTTTAAGAATTGTTCTCGGTAATTTTACGCGCTCATTGCAGTCACAACCCAAAGATAATTTATTAATGTCAGTAGCCTACACAACCGAATGAATCCGGCGTAATCGACCATATAAATACAGCATAGGTCTGACGTATTTCATCGTCGGACACAATGGGTCGGACATAGTCGTCGTCGGACATAATGGGTCGGGCATAATCGGCCGTCGGACAATGAGTCGAAAAAAATCGGTCGGACATAATCGGCCGTCGGACACAATGGGTCGGAAATAATCGGCAGTCGGACACAATGGGTCGGACATAATCGGCCGTCGGACACATTGGATCGAACATAATCGCCGTCTGTCATAATGGGTCGGACATAATCGGCCGTCGGACACAATGGGTCGGACATGATCTGCTGTCGGACATAATGGGTCGGACATAATCGGCCGTTGGACATAATGGGTTGGACATAATCGCTGTCGGACTTAATGGGTCGGACATAATCGGCCGTCGGACACAATGGGTCGGACATAATCGGCCGTCGGACACAATGGGTCGGACATAATCGGCCGTCGGACACAATTGGTCGGACATGATCGGCTGTCGGACACAATGGGTCGGACATGATCGGCTGTCGGACATAATGGGTCGGACATAATCGGCCATTGCTCGTCAAAATCTGTTGTCGGACGTAATTGACCAAACGGACATAATATTCGTGAACACACGTGTAAGGTAATCAAACGCAGCCATATATTTCGGATCACTAAATGGACCGGAGGGGCAGAAATGCACATGTGATTGTTTGCATACCAACACACGGATGGCTGTAAAAAGTAGAAATGCAGGGTAATTACATACAGCAAATTCGCTGTTTGCAATTACTTAAACAAAATAGAAATGACCCACTTATTTGCAAACCCTCATTAAAACAGATTACCGGATGGTTGCAAGTAGGAATTATCTCTCTCTCAACAACGTATTATTTTGTCTTTTTAATTCATAAAACGAGCTTACTGACCCTTTTGTAGTTTATTTTGCAGGTTGCAGGTAGCCTATATAACATAATCTAATGCGTATGACAACTTATTATAGAATGTAAGCTTGCACTGCGAACTTCAAATTAATGCATAATAATTGATCGTTCATCTTTAGATAGATCTGTTTGAAAAGTAAAGTTCAGATTTATCAACAACATAGTGTCTTGTAGATCATTGCTGGTATCTTACTGATATACCGCATCTGTGCAATATATCATTGGCGTGGTAGGTGTCTTGGGGTATGGTCTTATCATCAAGGTTATCTTGCGAGTCCCCTTCATGCACACATCATTCATAGCGATTATCTGCCATCAAGCAATCATCGACTTTCTGGGCTCGCTGCTGCTGCTTCTGCAGCGGAACATCCCTGTCACTGTGTGTAAGCGTGACACCGAAAAATTGACGAGGTGACACTAGTAGGATGCTTTCCCCTTCATTTTATTACTCAGCCCATAAATAGGCAGGTGAAACTGAAAATAAATTACAAGTAAATACATTTAATTACATAAAAGAAATAAGGACAATTACACACCAAAGTACAATATTTAAACACAGTGACAATTAAACAATATGTTCACAATAAATGAAAGTTAATTAGAGCACAGTGTTTAGAGTTTCACAGGTTGAGATAGATACAGCATCTTCATAAAGTTTACAGTTAGCCTATAACTTAGCAATTAGATTTGAATATAACTCACAAATCGTATGCGGGGCCAACACCCGTCGCTACACACAATGGATGGGTATCAGGAATGTATGTAATGTAGTTTACTGGAGTATACAGGGGTTTTCTGGGTTCACAGCGGCATTCTGGTGCTGTAAATACAAGCATAAATTAACAGATAAACAGCACTAAACACTACGTTCAATCAATATCGTAACTGGTAAACCAAAAACCATGCGTGCACAAGCACACGTACATGTACATTTTAGTGCCTACATGAATGACCTTTTGCAACTAAATACACCAATATAAAGTCAAGTAAGCCAGAATTCACAGATAAACACTCACAAAATAGGATAATGTCACAATGTGAAATGTCCCAAATTACATAAATATAAATTAAAGTACAGAAAATAAGAACGAAACTTACAGTCTTCACAGCTTTCGGCGACGTGACGAAGACTGAAGCGTATTGGAAATTCCCACGCTTAAATAGCCATACTACACGTGATAAGCGTATTCTGCCATGCCATTGGTGGAGCAATGCCATGTGACACGACATTCCATGCAAATTAGGCAAAGATGAATAATAATATATTAAGACGACAAAAGAACACATGGAAGACATACTATTCAAATTAAGTCAATCTGAATTGTAAATTAAGCCACATAAAAGAACCAGACGATGAACGTTCCATTCAAATTACATTGGTTAACTTATCAATAAGAAAAAAAACTTATCAGCGACGATAACACTCCCCCCTTGAATGACATTCAACCAAGACATACAATTATATTATACATCATAACCACAAGTGTCTATACAATCATAAATTACCATTATCCACTATAACCACGAGACTTATACAATCATTAATCTTATACAATATAACCGCAGAAATTAATACAATTATAATAGTCTTACACAGTATGATCGCCGATTCAAAATCACTATCACCGTCCAACATGTAACTTGACATTTCACCACTCTACGCAAATCGACATTAACCACTCATGAGGGGGCAGCAATTCATGCAACATCAAACTATAAATTAAACTTATCACTTTAATGGAATTACAAAAATAGTCATCAGGAAATACATGTAATCTTGCAATATTATTTGCAGAAGTCTAGTGGGTTGTCTTTACAATACTTGTACATTTATATACAGCGAGCAAATGCATAAAAATATGTTCTCATCTTCAATCTTAATCTGGTGTACATGTACATTAAATATTATCAATTGACGAATTCTATTCATGGAATGACGAATCTATAATTCAAGAGGAACCCGACCCTTCTAATAAAATCACTTTGGTGATGGGACGTACAAGTTCTGTAGCTCGAGTCATCAATTTTACTGACCTAACCAGACCATCTCGACCATAGTTTACATCCTTAACAAGGGCGAGAGGCCACAGGTTCCTAGGGGTCATTTCCTCTGAAACCAGCACTAGGTCACCAACAGCAATGTTATTAGCTGGATTCACCCATTTAGTTCGTCTCTGTAATTCTGGCAAATAAAACTTAAGCCACTTTCGCCAAAATTGATTAGCCAAATGCTGAACATGTCTCCAACGACTACGCAAATGCTCATGACTAAACCTACCAGGCGGATAACTGGAACTGTTTCTCAAGAGCAATAAGTGATTAGGTGTTATAACCGCAGGGTCACTGGGATCATCATTCACCTTGGTCAACGGTCGCCCATTAACAATGGCCTCCACTTCACAAAATACAGTACCCAAAATTTCATCAGTTAATCTAACTGTTCTGGGAAGTACAGCCACCATGACTCTCTTTACTACACCAATCAAACGTTCCCAAACTCCCCCCATGTGGGAAGCTTTGGGTGGATTAAAACGCCATACAATACTTTGTTTAACAGCATAAGCATTGATAATCTTTTGTGACACCTCCTTCATGCTTCTTTTCAATTCGGCTCGACCACCAACAAAATTAGTACCATTATCTGAGTAAATGATCTCTGGGTGGCCCCGACGGGCTATAAAACGCCTAAGACCATTCAGGAACGACTCTGTATCTAAGGCATCTAGTTTCTCAATGTGGATAGCTCTAGTGCAAAAGCATGTAAATAAACAACCATAGCGTTTGATCTCAGATCTCCCATACTTGACATAAAATGGTCCAAACACATCAATACCAATATATGAAAATGGTGGTTTACCGGCGTCTACACGTTCTTTGGGCAAATCAGCCATGAGCTGCTGACATGGTTTAGAATAGAGACGCTTACATGTTACACAGGCCTTAATAACCAAGAGGAAGAATGATGCATTAACTGATCAATAGGATCATTCTCTACAACTCGGTTTAACTGGCATGCATAACCCTTATCTACAACATCAAGAGATTCCGTGGTAACGGCGCCGAAAGCTGCAATTGAAGTCTTACGGACTTCTGGATCCTCATTCATCAAATCTACTGGTTTTCTATCACCCATATCCCAATCATGTTTGTACTTGTGCAGAATGTCTGGACCATGGAACCATTTGTCATCTGACTTCAAGCACGACTGTGGTCTCGTCACAAGATCAGCTGGATTAGACTTGCTGTCAATATGATGCCACTGATTTGAATCGGTCAACTCTCTGATGAGACCAACTCTATTACCAACAAAAATGTGAAACCTCCTACTATCATTACTGATGTATTTCAACACAATTTCAGAATCTGTCCAGAAATTTGAACAAGTGATGTCTAAATCTAACTCACGTCTCAACAATGCATCAACTTTAACTGCTACAACTGCGGCTTGCAATTCCAAGCGTGGTATGGTACACTGCTTCAACGGTGTAACTTTATTCTTGCTAATGATCAACTGGACATGCACCATTCCATGTTTGTTAACACACCTGATGTAACTACAACAACCATACGCTTTGGAGCTGGCATCTGAAATATGATGGAGCTCAATAAAGGCATCATCAAATTCACGTGGTTTGACACACCGAGGAATTTTCAGCTGCTTCATAGCATGACATGACTGCACCCAGGAATACCATGCATCTTCAAGCTGTGATGGAACTGCTTCATCCCAAGACAATTTATCAGCTGTAGCCTTTTGGAACAGAAGTTTACCGGCAAGTACAACAGGACCTAATAGACCGAGAGGGTCGAATATGGATGACACGGCACTCAACATTTTCCTTCTGGTGATAGGACTCTCCCTGTCACGCCCGACTTCGAAGAAGAACTCATCTGTAGATACCTTCCACTTTGTACCCAGAGTTCGACTTTCACACAAAGGACCAAAAGTACGAACTTCCTCGGCCACACAATCTTCAGACACTTCACTCAACAATTCCTCATCATTCACAACAAACTTTTTCAAACTGAATCCCCCCTTACGCAGGACCTTTGGAGTTTCCTTGATAACAGTCTTTGCATCAGTCTTCGAAGACACCGAGCTAAGACAGTCATCAACATAAAATGACTTATTCACAGTGTACCTAACCAAGGGATGAACATTTGGAGTATCAATAACTGTACGACTGAGAGCATAGGTCGAACTTGAGGCGCACCAAACACCCCCGAACAAGTGGGAAGTCATTCTGTAGTATTCCAAGAGACCATCACTGTACCACAAAAACCTAAGTGCATCTCTACCTCGGGGTGGTATTTTCACCTGGTTGTACATGGCTTCGATGTCGGCCTGAATCGATATGCTGTGCTGTCTAAAACGTCACAAAACTGGCAATAACTTGTTGATGAGATCAGGACCCTGTAGACAACGCTCGTTGAGGGACTTTCCCTTGAATTTACAAGCACAATCGTAAACAACTCTGAGCTTGTCGGGCTTCTTGTCGGTTACCACTGCATGATGTGGAAGATACCAAATCCTCTCACCTGTCATGATCTCATCTGGGGGAACTCTCTCGGCATAACCCTTATGCAGTAGCTTGTTGATCTCTGCTTTGTACTTAGGATACAGACCACCCTCAACCAACCGCTTGTCTAGTGAATCTAACCTGGACTTGGCCACGACGAAGTTGTTCGGCAAGGACTCCTCTCTGTCTCTCCAGGGTATGGGGAGTTCGTAGTGCCCATCAATCTTCCGATGTTCCCGGTCCCACAGCTTGATCACAGACCTATCTTCCTGCGACCACGAAGAACACTCCAAGCCCTCATTTTCTATCTTCCACAACTTAGAGACATCATCAATGGGTAGACAAGACACAAAATTAGACACTACCTTACGACTGACTCTGCCAACTGGTGACCGACCATTCACACACCATCCAAACAATGTACGGACTGCAAAAGGTTGCTCGGGACTGCCGCGTCGCACCTCCAATGGTACAAGAGCTTCTGCATTATCCTGACCAATAAGTAAATCAACAATCACACCATCATGTTCATAAGCAGGCATTGGACTGATGTCACTGAAATGAGTAAAAAGTGCAATGTTCACAGATGCACTTTTCACAGGTATGTTATCAACTACACAAACATTATCCATCTGTAAAATCTCCCCTGTTTCTGAACTAAGTGACAAATCAACAACTTTAGACTGATGAACACCTGACTTGTTCAATGTACTAAGCTGAAACTGTGAAGGTCTCCCTTGCAATCCCAATCTTTTCTACCAATAAAGCGAATACCCTGCATGAACTGTTAACCATCACTTGAACAATAGGCATGTAGGTTTCCTTATCAGTAAATGAGCTTACATTAGACACCTTAGATTCAACTGGGGCATTGACAGGACAGTGAATGTACATTGTATGTTTTCTACCGCAACCTTGTACACCACAAACTGATCGTTTACCACAATTCTCAGTACTGTGAGAAGCGAGGAGGCAATTATGACAAAGATTATTGACAATTACAATATTTAACCTATCCTTGGGATTCATCGCTTTAAACTTATCACAATGCCACAAACGATGGGATTGGCTACACAATACGCAAGGTGGTTCAGGTTTAGCATATGACTTGGTGATTGAATGCTGACCTGACCTACGACTATTTCCTGACTGAGACTGAGTTGACACAGACGAATTAAGTGAGACTCCCTGACCAGTATTTTTGTTCCTATCAAAACGTTTGGGATGCATGTTACCGTAGACCGGATCATTAACTTCACGTGCAATATTATCTACGAATTCAACCAGGTCTCTAAATCCAGGATAATGCTCCGTAACCTTAACTGACTTCAAGGCGGACTTTTTCCACTTCATCTGAACATAGCTGGGTAATCTGCCTACTATCTCAAGGATGACGGACTGTGATTTAACCTCGTTCAGAGTATTTAATGACCAAGTGTGAGCAAAGCAGTTTTCAAGTCATCTGCTAACTGTTGTATTTCTTGCGGGGACCGTAATTGTTTACCGGATTTAAGTTCCTTAACCAAACGTTCAGTTACAAGATGTTTATTTCCGAACCGACTATCTAAGATAGAACGTGCTTGGGAATAGCCGCTGGATCCCCCAACTAACTGACAACCCCTAATAGCTTCCTTAGCAGAACCAGATGTATACTGCATGAGCCTAGCTAATTTGAGATCACTATCCTCACATACTCTATCAACATTGACTTCAAATGCTCTAAGGAATTGATGGTAATGCAAAGGATTGCCATCAAATACTTGCAGCTCAACCTTAGGTAAATTTAACAAACCCAAGAATTCTTCCCGAGATAAATCCCCATATGTACCTGATTTGTGTGTACTTGAAGCATTATCATGATCAACTTCAACCTTTATATCCTTAGAAATACCCTTAGTCGAGTGAAGGACGGATATGTATACGTCCTGTTCCTTATAAAAATAAGTTTCACTAGCATCTACATCATCATCATCAACAAGCAATGAATGATATTCATTATGGACAGCCGTAAATTCCTTAAACAGATCTTTAAGTTTTGCAACATAATCATCAATGACACTTAAATCATCTTCAGCTAGACACTGTCTTATCTTATTGACTTGCTTGGTCACGGCTCTCTTAGCAGAAGTCCTAGTTGTCTTGAGCTGTGCCACCGTCGACATGATGCGAAGGTCTCCTCAACTTCCTGTGGGATGACTAGACGAGAACGGCAGGACGAGATGTCAGTGACGGCGGTAGGCTGAGCAGTGTAGACTACGATGCGCTGTCCGGTAGAAAGAAGCGATGACCAACCCAAGCTCGGAGGCGACGACAACGAAGATAAGCAGATGTGATGCTGGAGTGATGGTAGTTCGCACTGGAAATGACGATAGTTCGCACTGGGACGA